TTGCAGGAGGGTGGTGCATGTATGTGTCATACTATTATTCTTTAGGGCAGGATTTTTTCAAGTATTTAAAGTTCCTTTTCTAGTCAGATGGTAGAACAGTTTGATGGCAAGTGGAGGCCCATAATGTCACTGAGAGGGTTAGGAAAATCCCCAGATCTGAGACAGTGTGGCCTGAGTTTAATTAAAGAATTTGAATGGCGGAAGATAAATGCCTAGAAAATCCTCCAGCAGCTCATTTGGTGAGGTTTGTTTGGGAATAGCAGGGCACAGAATTTTAGAGTTGGAATACTCCCAAAAATGAAGACTTTGGCCATAACTACAAAGAAATCATGTGGAAAATACCAGTTAGGAAAGCAGTGGTTGCTTATGAATTCTACTTTAGTTTCCACCTCCCGATATTTGACTGCCTTTGCTGACTTGGTGTTTCCAAGGGCAGGTAGTGGGGAAAGGATTGTGGGTTGCAAAGTTTCCAGATAGATGAGGGAGAGATTTCCTAACCATGTGTAACTTTGTAACCACTTCTCCTTTTGTAGTCTTCTCCTATAGTCATGCCAAAGGAAGAGTCTGGCTTCTGTCTGGCCTAGGGCAGAAAAGTAGGCAGTGTCCAAGGAATGGGGTAGATAAGAAACCTGAGGTGATGGTAGAATCTGATCCTTTTCTTCTTCCTCTTAACCTCAGGATTTGAGCAACTTCTATGCACAGTACAAATCCATTGAACCTTATTTGAAGAAGAAGGATGAATCCCAGGAAGGCAAGCAGCAGTATCTGCAGTCCATAGAAGATCGTGAGAAACTGGTCATTATTCCCTATTTATTGTCCGGGTGTGAGGAATTCATTGCAGAGATGTTTTCTGGGAGCGTGCTTGAGAGGAGGAGCAGCATGAGATAATGCAGACCATTTAGTATATTCTGGAAAGGAACTCTACCCAGGGGTTGAACACCCATCCTCTCAGGGCCAGGTAGATGGTGTGAAGCCATGAAGGGCCCAGAGCAGACCAAGGAGCTGGAGCACCCATGCCCAGCCTCGAGGGGCAGATGGTGGCCATGTTGCCGGTTCATCTTTTTCAAAAGAAACCAGCATGTAAATTGCGTGGCCTTTAAAAGTTGGCAGCTACGTCTGAGCTGTTCTCTCAGTTTGGGCAAAATAAAGCACACATGCTGGCCAGCTGCAAATCTTACTGCCACCATCCTGCTTTACAGGTGAAAGCTAAATGCTAATGACAAAACTGGACCTAGAACCTTGGTGTTCTTTCCTAACACCGCACTTCTGGTTATTGGTGTGTGGGATTGCTACTGGCCTTCTCACTCTCTTGGAGTTGCTCTTCCTGTATACAGGCTATAAAATCCTAAAGTGGAGGCATCATTATTAAATTTCCAGTCTCTTTCTTCTTCTACCCTACTTTTACCTCCTCTTTGAAGTCTTCTCTGATTTGCACACCCCCCCCCCTGCACACGGGGGGGTAAGGGAGACCAAGTGGAGATGGAGCCCCACACATGCCTGCGTGGGGCCAAGCACGTGTGCTATCTTGTGGTCACCACTTTGTACGTTCCTCCAATACAGCACTTATCCTAAGAATCATTTATGTGCTTGTCCATTTAATGGACCGGGCATACCTCAAAGGCAGAGGCAGTGTCTTATTCTTTTCTGGATTCCTAGACCCTGACACATATTATTTTATCAATAAATAATAGTTGTGTGAATAAATAAACAAATTCTACCTTTTAGGATTTGGTGAATATCGAGCCTCCTCTCCTCTTCCCCGTAAAATGTTAAGAAAGGAGAGTCCTTGGCTGGGCATGGTGTCTCACAGCTGCAATCTCGGCACGTTGGGAGGCCAAGGCAAGAGGATGGCTTAAGTCCAGGAGTTTGAGACGAGCCTGGGAAATACAACAATACCCCATCTCTACCAAAAAAGTAGAAAAATTAGTCAGTATGCACCTGTAGTCCCAGCTACTTGGGAGGCTGAGGCAGGAGGATCACTTGAGCCTGTGGGTTTGAGGCTACAGTGAGCTGTGATCACACCACTGCACTCCAGCCTGGGCGACAGAGTGAGACCCTGTCTTTAAAAAAAAAAAAAAGAAAGAGTCCTAGTATGTCTGCCTTGTCTGTCTCCATCACAGTGATGAGGGTCAGTGCAGTAATGTTAGGACTCTCAAAGTAAGCCTCCGACTACTCTTTAAAATTTCTTGTTCACAGCATGTAGCTCTGCCCCTGTTTCTAACTCCCCGAGAGTCCTAACGCAGCCCAGAGTCCAGGTTGGAACCAGCCACTCTGGCTCAACTAGCCATTTCACATTCTTAGGCTAGGCAAGTCCATAGCTAATAAACATCCCCTTGATGTGGCATTATTAGGGAATGAAGGGTTCCCCTCAATGTGTTTTCTGCAAACAGGCTGAGTATCCCTTAACTGAAATGCTTGGTACCAGAAGTGTTTGAGATTTCAGATTTTTTCGGATTTTGGAATATTTGCATTATACTTACCAGTTAAACATCTAATATCCAAAATGCTCCAGTAAGCATTTTCTTTGAGCATCATGTCAGTGTTCAAAAAGTTTCAGATTTTAGAGCATTTCGAATTTCAGATTTTCCAATTCGGGTGCTCGACTTGTAATGGAAATTTACTCATTTAAATATTAAACATTTGTTTAGCATTTTTTGCTTCCTTAAATTAGTATGCTTAACTTAAATAATTGGAAAATACAGAGAACTATTTTTTTTTTTTTTTGAGACAGAGTCTCACTCTTTTGCCCGGGCTAGAGTGCCGTGGCATCAGCCTAGCTCACAGCAACCTCAAACTCCTGGGCTCAAGCAATCCTCCTGCCTCAGCCTCCCGAGTAGCTGGGACTACAGGCATGCACCACCATGCCCGGCTAATTTTTTTCTATATGTTTTTAGTTGTCGATTAATTTCTTTCTATTTTTAGTAGAGACGGGGTCTTGCTCTTGCTCAGGCTGGTTTCGAACTCCTGAGCTCAAACAATCCGCCCGCCGCCCGGAGAGCTAGGATTACAGGCGTGAGCCACCACGCCCGGCCTGAGAACTATTTTTTTAATAATCTATAATTCCACCACCAAAAGATAACTTCTGTTAATATTTAGTCACCTTTGTTTTTCATTTATCTATTACATTGTATTTTTATGTAGCTGAGATCAAAATGTAAATAAGCCTTTGTACCTCGCTTTTTTCAGTCATGTTATTGTGAGCATCTTCTCCATGTTCTTAAAAATTCTTCACGAGCGTGAACTTACGCTTTGCTTTCTACAGCTTCAGGTGTGTTCACCATGCACTATTAAACCATCCCACTATTGTGGAAAAATGCAGTTGTTTCTTATTTACTGTTGTAAATAAAGCTAGATGACCATCTTTATCCATCAATCTCTACCTAAAGAATTATAATAAATTTGTTAACAGATTTTCCTATAAGTGTTTTAAAGAATAGGACGACTGTGAAGGCGCATAATCCTATGACCTTCTGCCTTCTAGACCCGTGGGGCACTTGACGTTGTAGATTGGGTTGAAGACCATGGTTCAGTCACGACCATCAGTTCTGTCTCATCTGTCATCAGCTGTCACCTCTTATACCAGTGTGCCCCTTCTGTTTTGCTGCTTTTAATCCATTTTAGTTGTTTCCAAACTCAGAAAGTCCAGTTTATTAGAACCAGCTGGGCAGATTTGAGCCAGAGCAGCAGGTGTGAAGGAACAGGAGACCAGAGCCAACTGCAGGGGCCACATGCCGGCTGTGCTGCCTGCGGCCATGTGTCCTCGGGCACGTGGCCTCACTAACCTGTCTGAGCCTCACTTCCCCGCCTATAAGTGGGAGTTGCCAGTACCCACCGCACAGGATCGCTGTGACGATCGGATGAGGCAGAGCACAGAGCATGTAAAGCACGTGGTCCTCAGTCAGAGTTGGCGATTTAGGGTGATATTGATGTTCCCAGTGAAAATCCGAGGTCTCTTCTGCTGAGCCAAGGGCAAAAGCTGTTGTAGAGCACCAGGATGCTTCAGCCCCCAGGGCCTTTGTAATTTCTCCCCTCTCGACTGCATTCCGGGTGGTAAGTTGTTTTTGGTTTTTGTTTCTGTCGGTTTCTCTTTTAGATAAGTTGAGGGGTTGTTGTTCATTAAAGGGGTAAGTGCATTGTGCTCGGACTCAAGAACTCTGGGCTCTAATCCAGCAATGTTCACGTTTCACTTACAAAATCTTTTTTGTGAATGATAAATCTCTGCAAACCACCCTTTGGATTTTGCCAAGAAAATTTGCGTTCAGGTAGGCACTGTGTGTATGTGCTGACCTCAGACACCACATTTAATTGGGTAAAGACGTGACAGCGTCTCTTCCTTCACACGCTCCTGACTCCCCTTTCTCCCCACACAGGATGGGCTCTACGAGTGCATTCTCTGTGCCTGCTGTAGCACCAGCTGCCCCAGCTACTGGTGGAACGGAGACAAATATCTGGGGCCTGCGGTTCTTATGCAGGTGAGGTGCTCCTTAATTGCTTTAGGAGAAATTAAAACTCAAGCATCCAGAAATCCAAGAAGACAGTAGATTGTTGCAAGCCAGCCATTCTGAGGGGCTGATTGGTTTCCTTCATTGGTTGCATTGTGTTCACTTGCTTTTAGTAAATCTGGGGCTTCATCTGCAACTTGTCTTTGTTTCAGGGTGGCAAGCGTCACCCCAAGGGGTCGTGGCATGCTTTTTAGCAAACCATGCCTTGCAGATATTTAAATGCGTTTCCTGTGCAGCAGACTATTACTTGTCCACTTGCCCACATCTGTCCGAGGCTCCCCGTCTCCATCTCACAAGGATTTATATTTTGTGAGCAGGGGAGAAAGAAATGTCTTTGAGAAGCATCTACCTAGCGGTCAGGTTGGAAATTGTTTCCAGGCTAATGAGGGCCTGGGTTTAGGGGTTGCTTAGAAAGAAAGTAGTATTGGTCTTCACTGCAAAGAAAGTCACCGTCCACACCTGTAATCCTAGCACTCTGGGAGGCAGAGGCGGGAGGATCACCTGAGCTCAGGAGTTGGAGAGCAGTCGGAGTAAGACCCTGTCTCTACAAAAAATAGAAAAAATTAGCCAGGTGTGATGGTGGGCACCTCTAGTCCTGGCTACTCAGGAGGCTGAGGCAGGAGGATCCCTTGAGCCCAGGAGTTTGAGGAGGTCACAGTGAGCTATGATGACACCGCTGCACTCTACCCAGGGCAACAGAGTGAGACTCTGTCTCAAAAAAAAAAAAAGAATGTTACTGTCTTTGTTCCCAGAAAGCTTGTGCTTTTTAGATTTGTGGTCAGTGCTTTTCACAGACTGCAAGCGACTCAAAAAACAGCTTCTCATTTTCCCACAAAAAGAGAAGTTACTTGATTGTGTGGCCACATGGCCAGTATTGATTCCCAGCCATGTAGAGATTGAATAATGAAGTACGCTCACTCTTGTCACTTGTACCAGATGATCCGAGCCATTGGGAGTCACAGGGGTCCTCTGAGTAACACTGCCAGAGCACGCCCAGGGGTCGTGGGGTCAGTCGTTTTCAGCCTGCCAATCCCGGGCTACTGGGATGGTTGTTTGAATTGAAAGAATCAATCTGTTAAATCGTCAGTTTACTCAAAGACATGGGAGTCTAGCGTGGGTAGCTGCCGTGAAGACAGCGCAGAGACGAGGCACCTAAGCTGAGTGAATCCCCTTCTGCACTCTGGAGCCCTGAGAGCAGAGCTGCTGATGTGGGCAGCTCAGCTCATGAGCCCCTGGTTCCCCAGGCCTACCGCTGGATGATTGACTCCAGAGACGACTTCACAGAGGAGCGCCTGGCCAAGCTGCAGGACCCCTTCTCTCTGTACCGCTGCCACACCATCATGAACTGCACAGGGACCTGTCCCAAGGTATGTGGAGCTGGTGGCCCTCAGCTCTGCCTCAGAACTGACATGCCAGAAGTGGCGTGTGCAAACCTGATGATTTGCAATGGAAAGGGAACAGAGCGTGCCTATCATCTCAGTGTGAGCCTGGGAGCTAGTTTGGCTCTTAGTTGCAAGGAACAGATTCAGGAGCAGACTCTACTTGGAGGGTACACAGGGACATTGAGGGAGTTAAGGATGTCACAGGAATCCATGAGCAGGCACCTGCATTCAGCCTGACTTCGTAGGAACCAAAAAGCAAAGGCCATCAGGTCATAGGTGGCTGGGGGGACTAGATTCCCTCTCCGTCTCTGTCTTGTGATGTCGACCACTAATCTGCTCTGCTTTCTAGCAACCAGCCCTTCTTTCTCTCTGCTCTGTGGAGCTTGGAGCTTTTCTCTGACTCAGAGCTCCAGCTTTCCTAGCTTTCACTCCCGTTTCCTGCTCACACTCTCTGCTACCTTTGGCTCACCCTGGCCTGGAATCTGCCTCCCAACACACCTCCAGCTTCAGCCACCATTATCTGCTCTTATCCTCTCAGCTCACGCTCCCGAGAGGATGTTGCATTGTTCCAACTCAGCTTCCCATGCCAGCACATCAGAGATCATGGCTGGCTACAGACTGGCTGCCCTTTGGTTGGATGCTGTCTCAGTCGATTTTGTGTTGCTATTGCAGAGTATCACAGACTGGGTAATTCATAAAGAAAAGAAGTTTATTTGGTTCATGGTTCTGGAGGCTGGGAAGTCCAAGAGCATGACGCCAGCATCTGGCGTTGGCCATCGTGCCGTCATCCCATGGCAGAAGGGCAAGAGAGGGAAAGGACAAGAGAGAAGAGGGGCCCAAACTCACCCTTGTATCAGGAACTCACTCCCTCATAACCTAGTCACCTCTTAAAGGTCCCACCTCTCAGTACTGTTGCATTGGGGATTAGGTTTTCAACCCATGGACTTCGGGGGAAACATTCAAACCATAGCAGGTGCCAGCCTTGGTCTAGTCAGCCTTGGCCAGTGGGCAGGGAAGAGCCAGGGCCATGCAGTTCAGAACATGGCTGCTGCTTGCACAGAGACCACGGGCAGAGTGATTTCACTTAACAGGTACAGCGAGTCATTGGGCAGCAAGATGGAAAACTCTAGGATAACCAGTTAGCAGTTAAAAAAAAATTATAGCATGTCTTTGAAAACATGAACTCCAAGCTGGATAATTCACGTATTTTTGGCCCAGAAGCCCATTGTGTTTCCAGGGGCCTCGCCCTCTGCTGCAGGGTTTCTCACCTGCTTCCAGCATCAGGATGGGCCATGGGGCCTGGTCGGGGAGCACACGGGCTCCAACACCCCATTGCTTGGGCTTCGGTCCAGCAATGAACTCTGAACCTCTGAGGCAAGTTACGCCACAAAGTGCTTGGAACCATGCCTGGCATACAGTAAGCACAATAAATGTCACCTGTTGTTTAAAAAAAAAAATGGGTACTGGGCCTGTTTGAGTCTGAGACAGCATCTCCAGCCCTGGGGCCTGGCTTGCGTGTTTCTTCAGAAGCTCTGCAGGTGACTCAGGTGCATTCCTGGTCACAAACCTGTGCCTTGAGGGGGCGGCCGACAGCCCAGATCACCAAGAATAGGTTCTCTATGCCTCACCTTGGACTTTTGGGGCTATGAGACTCAGACATAGGCCCAATCTTGAGTTCAGCCCCATTGTCGTGCGGATGAGGAAGCCTAGCCCTAGGGCGGGGGTAGGAGGAGAGTAACTTGCCCAAGGTCACTATCAGGTCGTGGCAGGTCTGGCCTAGAAGTAGGCACCTGCTCCCTGTCCCAGGGCTCGCTCTTCCTGCACGGATTGGGCACACTCCTGCGTACCGACCTCCTACAAGTCTGAACACCCTTAGTGACCTTGCGGAGACAGGAAATAGTCACGTGTTCCAGATTTGGAAGGATATACCACGAAAAGTCTCCCTCCTACACCCCTCCCCCAGCCATCTCCCTGGAAGCAGTGATGTTATCAGATTTTTGTGTGCCAGAGGTATTTTATGCTACACACAAATGTGTGTGTGCTTTGCCACCTTTTGTACATGACACTCGTCTGTAATTTTTTCACCAGTACGTTCTGGAGATTATTCCACATCAGGATGCAAAGAGTATCTTCTTTCTCCATTTCTCTTTTTCTCTCACTTTCTCTTTTTCTTTTTTTCTTCTTTCCACAATACCACTTTTTTCAGAGTTAGAGTTATCCTTCTAAAATGAGGGGACCCTTCGATAACCTCAGATAAGTCCTTGTCTAATTTTGTCAAATACTTCCTTGTCAACCTCCTACTTCTATAAAGCTGACATTCAGTGGGTTTAATTATTGTGCCTCCTGCAAAACAGACGTGACAGCTGTAGGGCCAAACTGCAGCTAATACCAGCGGTGTTGGCCAGTTGGACTCGTAATGGTGTTTTTGAAGGGTTAACAGAGAGGGTCGTTTCTTCCACACACCTGTGAGAGTTTGTATATGCTGACTTCTGCGCTAATGATTTAGTAATAATGTACTGATTTAGAGATTTAGAGACATCTGGCTGATTTTGACATTGGCCGGTAGTCACAGAAAAAACACTGCCCCAGATATCTTTGAGCGGTCGGAGAACGTGGCTCTGCCCTGGGCCCGTTTGCCTGCTGAGACAGAGCCACACCAGGGGTCAATGTGGCAGAGCTCTTGCCAGAGAGAGCGACCAGTTTAAATGACTGAAAGTAGAGACAGAAGGGAGCTCTTCACCCAAGCCCTTGGTTTTTTGTGGGGTTTGGGGTGGGGGGATGTTTGGGTTTGGTTTTTTAAAGCCGGTCAAATTTAGTGTGGTTTTAAGGAACTTCATTTGCATTCGCCTTGCTTTGACACCGAACCGGCTGGGGAAGGTGTTTCACCCAAGGTTTCATGGTTCTCCCATTCGGTTTCAGTTATCATTTGCTATTGATTTTCTCTTTTTTTCAAGGGTCTGAATCCAGGGAAAGCTATTGCTGAGATCAAGAAAATGATGGTAACCTATAAGGAAAAGAAAGCCGCAGCTTAACTGTTCTATGCTAAACATGACTTGGACCCAGCTCAGAGCTGAACTTAATTTATATCTAACTTGAGTTCTTTTAAAGGTCTTGATTTTCCTTGAATACAGCATGTATAATAAAAATTTTAAGAAATAAATGTTATTCTACTTTATTAATAAAAAATCGAGACCAGTTCTTTTACTTGCTACAAGGGAATGTGAAAGTGCCAGAAGGAGTCCCTTGTCTTTGGAGAGATGGACAGAGCTCCAGAGGTGAGCCCTAGGGGAGGGGGACACAGGGAATTGACGTCCAGTGGGGCCTGGGGCTTGTTCCCGGCTTTGCCACTCACCAGCTGGATGACCTTGGACAAGTTCCTTTGCTCCTTGCTGCTCCTTTTGCCCATCTGTAAAATGGGACCCATAATTGTGCCTACTTCCCCGTCTGGTGTGAGGATGCCTGGCACCTATTCCGAGTGCTCAGCGAGTGTTCCACAGCTTCCAGGTTTCTGTAGTTTTCAGTATTAGAATTATTGAAAACCAAATCTTGGTGAGTCTTTCGATATGCCAGTGAGGCAAAGTCTGCAGTTCCTCCAGCACACAGCAGTGACCCCGTCAGCTCTGAACTCCAGTCAGCTCGATAGATGACTTCAAGACACCTCTCAGTGGTGTCATTGTAGCTCACGGCAGCCTCAAACTCCTGGGCTCAAGTGATCCTCTTGTCTCAGCCTCCCGAGTAGCTGGACTACAGGTGTGCACCACAACGCCTGGCTAATTTTTCTATTTTTAGTAGAGATGGGGTCTTGCTCTTGCTCAGGCTGGCCTTGAACTCCTGAGCTCACAGAATCCTCTCACCTCAGTTTCCCAGAATGCTGGGATTACAGGCATGAGCCACCGCACCCAGCCCCAAGTCCCACATTCCCTTTTGACAGTTTATACATTTTCTTCCAAACCTTATATTATTACAAATGTGTGGCCCATATAAAACTTTCCCCCTTCAAAAATAGGGTACCATAGAGCAGGGTGCAGTGTTGCACGCCGCCGGCTACTCAGGAGACTTAAGGTGGGAGGATCATTTGAGCCCAGGCATTGCAGACCAGCCTGGGCATCAGAGCAAGACCCCGTCTCTAAAGTTAGGGTACCACATAGTCTGTTAGCAGCTTTCTATTTCTACCCCACAAAATATAAGGGATTCCAGGCTAATAAATACCTTCCATAGTCTATGTATGCAGAAAATTTTTCTACCTCGGCCTTTGCAACTGCTACTGAAGTGCTCTGGGCATGAGTGTGTCCCAGCGAGTGCACATTTGGGTGGTTCCCATTTTCACTCTTCCAACTGTTTTCGAGTTGTAGCTGGAAACCTCCTGATCATCCTGAAGACAAAGGCTTCTTGCACCATGAGGCCGGCGGCTAAGAAAATGTGCACTCACAGAGAATGAACCTTAATCAGCATTTTCTGGCTTTAAAAAGGAACAATTCAACAAGCATTAGTCTCAGGCACTGAGGGAGGTAAGGTGCTGGGGACAAAGAGGAACAAGGTTTGTTTCCTCCCTGCCACCTTGGGGCCAAAGTCACAAAGAAAAAAGGAACAAGCATTGAATTATTAGAAATTTAGAGAACAGGGCCTTTGCCCTTCAGCACAGCATCTCTGAATTCTTGACTACCTCGTTAAGACCGCACGATACACAGTCTGAGGTGTTCGAGCTTAAAATTCAGAACCGTGCAGGCGCTGGAGAGGCAGCAAAGCCGCGATCAGGTGGTGCTTACTGCTCTGCGTCGCGAAAGGCGGTAGAAGCAGAGCTGTGGGCCACGTCTGTGGACAGCTCTGCTCCCCCAGCTCAAACACAATGGATTTCTGTCAGCCCCTGGGGAAGGTCACATTCCTTGGATTCATGGATGATTTGACTTTGCTTCTAATCTCTAGACCTGAAGGGAAGGATGGCTTTTTCTCCTGAATAACTTAATGGCATGTAAAGATGAGTTTACCCCAGCTACTGATAAGAGGCAGAGTGTAGCTTGGGAGTTGCCACTCCAAATCAGCATCATGAGATGTCAAGTTTGTAACTGTAGGTCACCCTCACCCCAAGTGAACTTGAGCTACATTAGTATATGTTATCGACTGTTAGTTTAATTTATTGCTTGTTTACTCTTTCACTGGGCTGGGCAAATGTTCTATTTCAACAGTCACAAAGACTTTTCTAATAAAACTGCAGACGTGAGCAGTGCTGTGTTCCGATGCTATTCTGTGCCTAGGCCTTTGTTTACAAAATAGGACTTCCTAGGACCGAAGGCCGTGGTTTCTTCTTATCTGGTCTTTGGGCAAGTTGTCGAATGTCTGTGTCTCTGTTTTTCCGTCTATAAAATGGAAATTAACAGCATTCATCTCTCAGAATTGTGATTGAAGTCTAAGAACAAATGTGGGCCAGACACGGTGGCTCATGCCTGTAATCCCAGCAGTTTAGGAGGCTGAGGTGGTAGGATCGCTTGAGACCAGGAGTTCAAGACCAGCCTAGGCAACAATGAGAACCCGTGTCTACAAAAAAAAAATTTTTTTTAATTAGCCAGGGCACCTATAGTCCCAGACAACCTAGTGAGACCCTATTGGTCTCTACAAAAAATAGAAAAAAGTTAGGGGCCGGACACAGTGGCTCACACCTGTCATCCTACCACTTTGGGAAGTCAAGGCAGGATGATCACTTGAAGCCAGGAGTTTGAGACCAGCCTGAGCAAGAGCAAGATTCTATCTCTACAAAATACTAGAAAAATTAGCCAGGCATGGTGGCGCACATACGTAGTGCCAGCTACTCGGGAGGCCTAGGCAGGAAGATCACTTGAGCCTAGGAGTTTGAGGTTGCAGTGAACTATGTTCATGCTACCACACTCTAGCCCCCGGAAGTGAGACCCTATCTCAAGAAAAAAAAAACAAAAACAAATTAGCCAGGTGTGGTGTGTGCCTGTAGTCTCAGCTACTAAGGAAGCTGAGGTGGGAGGATCGCTTGAGCCCAGGAATTTGAGGCTGCAACGAGCTATGATCGCACCACTGCACTCCAGAGCAGACAGAGCGAGACCCTGTCTCTAAAAAAAATAAAAATAAGAGGAAAAAAGAATAAACGTGAAAGCATCATGCCTGCATGCTTTGTTGTGGAGCAAATGCTGCATAAATTTAAGTTGGCTGATTTGTCTTGAACACCTACTGTGTGAGAGGCCGTCTACTGAAGGCTGTGGAGACCACAAAGGCAATTGATTCCCAGCCCTCTGGAGTGGACAGTTGGTAGATTTCTGCCAGGACTGGCCAGGGCTAGAGGCTTGCTCAGAGGCTGGTTTTTCCTTGCCAGGCTAGCAGTGTTCATTTCTCATCTGTCCCACCACTCTGCCAGCTCCTGCAGGGCGGCACTCCCTTCACTCAGATTCTCTGCAGGCCCCTTCTCTTCCTTGCGCCAGGATAACTACGAAACAAAGAGCTGAAAACACTTTACTACGTGTCTAGACAGCCGTAATCCTACCACAAACCCCCTTTGCTGTAAAAATCTAGTGAAACTAGAGAAATTGAAAAGTAAATTAATCCTCTGGAATAAACTTGCCCAAATGAGTGATTTCTCAAGCCTTTTGCCACTTGGACCAGGCGTATGTCCTCTGCATGGCCCCCAAGAGAGCAGCAGCCTGGGCGAGCCCATTCAATTAGGCCTGGCCCAAGTGTGACTGGAAGTTTCAGACACAGTTATCCGAGAGGAGAACCCAGCCCACAGACCACCTAGACAACCACACAGCAAAAGCCACTTCCCTAAAAGTAACCCCAGCAGATGGCAGGGCCTCCCACGTTCTCTGTGGCTTGGAAGGAAGCTTCCTCTGGCTTCCTGCCCCATCAAGGAGAGGGCGAGCTGCAGGTGCGGCTCTTTCGCAGGTGGCTCATGGGATGGAGCCTCTTCAATGCCAAGCAGCCATAGCAATACGAAGATGAGGGGAGCAACCTTGCAACACAGTCCCCAGCGCAGTCCCCAGGCCCTCTGCTTCTATGAAGCCTCTAACCCAGCTTCATGTCTAAAGAAAGCGACTGGCTTCTACCAAGTACCTCCCATCTCATTTCATCCTCTCAGTGGCTTCCATTTTATAGGTGAGGGGAGAGGCTCAGAGAGGAATAGTGACTTTTCAAAGCTCACACAGCTAGAAAGCAACCCACACATCCGTGTTTTTCCGATGCCCCCAGTCACTGGACCACACCACCTCTTGTCGGGGCCATCTGAGCTGTGTCCAAACCCAGCCTTCCTGCTGCCCTAGGGGCTGGGTTCGTTCCCTTGTTAAGTGGCCTGCCGGACATTGGGCTAAGCCCAATGGGAAGACATGGGAGCTCTGAGAAGTTAAGCAGACTGCCCCCACTGGGTGTCACCTGCAGATGAAACAGGTCTTGTCACCTGACCTAGCGAAGCAAGCCCCACGCCCCAGGTGGCCAACAGGAATGGCCCCCAATGTGCTCCAGCTGCCCCAGCTGAGTAAATGGCTCTACTGTCCCCAAGCTGCTCAGGCCAAAACCCTGGGGGGCATCTTGGATTCCACACATTCCTGCACCTCCATGTCCCAGCCACCAGCAAGTCCTGCCAGTGTGTGTTCCTGGACCGAATGTAACTGAGCTCATGCTACGTTCAGGTGCTGCTTTCCCCTCTGGGGCCTGTCTCCCACCTCACACTCCACCACAGCTCTGTCCCTTCCAGCCCATTCCATGATGGGTTATCGTTAGAGTTTTCCTTTGCTTGCCTTGGGCTGCTTCCCAATGGACAGTAGGCTCCGTGGGGATACCCTCATGTCCCTGGCTCCGAGAACAGTGCCTGGCACTGCATAAATCCACACTGGACGAATGGCTGCTGGATCCTGCCCAAGCCCATCCTTGGCCCTAACGTGCACCTTCCCTGGTTTGCCCTGGGGTCTTGCCCTCTGCCTTTAGAGTTCCTCTGCCCAGAGGCCCCAGAGACAGGGGAACACTGTGTCTGTGCGTGTCACTATGGAGTAGTGTAATAAATGCTGCATACAACTATGGCATCTCAGTGCCTTTCAGGGGCCTCCACGCCTCCCCCCGTGCAGGTGTGTCTGTAGGTCATGCTGTGAGGCTCCTAGGGTTGGGTATGCCTCTGCTATTTCTCTGGCATTTTCAGGGCCTCCTGCGTGTCACAGTCTCCCTGTGTCCCTGTGCATCTCTGTGGAGTACATCTGATCTCTGTGGAGTACATCTGACCCTGCGAGTCTCTGGGAAGGTGTATCTTCCTTCTTTGACTTTTATAAAGCAGTGTCAGGTACCGTCCCAAGTGCTTGACATGTATTTTTCTCATGCGGTCACAACAAATCTATGAAGCCAGCATTGCTATCCTACAGGTGAGGAAATGAGGGTCAGAGAGGTTACATGGCATGCTCACAGTCACACAGCCTGGGGCCGGCTCGAACCAGCACACGTAGTCCTTGACCACTGGGATACACAGCCGGGGCTGACTCCATGTGGTGTGTGTCTCTGTCTGTCTGGGAGTTACTCGTGTGTGTGTGTGTGTGTGTGTGTGTGTGTGTGTGTGTGTGTGTGTGTGTGTGTGTGTGTGTGTGTGTGTGTGTGTGTGTGTGTGTGTGGTGTGTGTGTGTGTGTGTGCGCGTGTATGTGTGTCGGTCCGGGGACCATCCAGTCTCCGTGCGCCCCGCCCCTGGGCATATGCGGAGCGGCCGGCGGACTACAATTCCCGGCAGCCCGCGCGCGGGCGGCGGACGTGGGCCGCAGTGGGCTGGGCGGGGCTTGGCGGCGCGCAGACATAGACTGCGGCACCGTCGGAGCTGCGCCGCCGCCGCTGGTCGTCCAGGTGCCACCACCCGCCCCGCGCCCTCCCCGCCGCCCCGGGCCTCCCGACCGCGCCCCCGCGGGGCCTTGCGCACGCCCGGGCCCAGGCCGCAGGCCGCAGCGCCGGGGCCGGCGATGAGCGCGAGCAGCCGGCATGAGCGCAGGTGAGTGCGCAGCTCCGGTCGGCCCAGAGCCCGTCGTGGCACCTGGCGGGGGAAGAGGGATTCCCCCCAACCTTGGGGTCGCCAGAAGGGAGCGGGCCCTGGGCGGGGATCCTGGTCCCCTCCCCTCTCTTTCACGGGGACTCGCCCCTGGCTCTTCCCAGAGGCCGGGGCTGGGGGATGGCGCCGCACACAGCCGGGCCCCTCCCCGCCTTCCTGCACCCCGCCGCCGCGGAGAGGAAGCCGCCGGCGCTGGTGCAAGAGGGGCGGCGGGGGCCGTGGTGGGGCAGGGAGACCGCCCCTCTCCCGCTGGATTGGATCCCACCCTGAGTGACAGATGTCCAGCTCGGGGAGGAGGTGTGGAGGTGGCTGCATCCGGGGCCTCTGAGCAGTTACCGCTCTCAGCTGAATGAATGAATGAATGAATGGGATTGGGGAAGCCAGAGCCACTGGCGAGAGTATGCTGGCGCACAAACGGCACTCCTGACCCCCTGCATCCGGCCCCCAGAGGAAGGCTGTCAGCTTCCTGGTGCAAGGACCACACCCTCCATGTTACCATCCCGGGCCAGGAGTCCCACGCCCACCCCTTCCAGAATCTAATTTAAATGCCATCTGCTTCTCATGGGGTCAGGAGACCTCCCCTGTCCAGAAGGGCCTCAACTCTATGTCAGTCACTCCCCAGCCTGGCAGCCTAGAATGCACTCCAGGTGAAGGAGGGGAAAGAATAAGGAAAGATGGCTCCAGACCCCGGATCCAAAGATTGGGGAGACACACACACACCCCCCCACCAGCCCCAGCCTGGCAGAGGACAGGAGCCTCTGGTCACAGTGAAGGAGGAGGCTGGACCACTGCCAAGTCACCAGTAGGAAGCCAAGGCTTCCACAGAAAACAAGAGGTTCCTAAATGGCTTTGACTCTAGCCCCTCTGCTCCGCAGTGCTGGTGGCATTGCCCCAGGGCTATGAACTCAGACCAGGTTCAAGTCCATTCTTGGCCACTCGTAGCTGTGTGACTTTGTCCATATTCATTGACCTCTCTGTGCCTTGTTAAAAGTGGGGATCTGTAGTTTTCATTAGGGTGGCTGTGAGGAATGTCTTCATTCAGACTCATCCATTTCTAGCTTCTCCCCTTTCAAGCTCTGTGACCCTTGGCAAGGAAGTTTGCAGCTCTGTTGCTCAGATTCCCCACATGTAAAATGGAGATAATAATAGTACTTCCTTCAGCGGGTTCTGTGTGAAGATTCGGGGGGTTGGTGCACGGAAG